CTCTTAGCCACTTTTTCAAATCCCCGTGCAAGTAGCTCACAACTCTTTAAAAGATTGGGCATTCTTGATGTCCATAATTTATGCAAGTTCCAAACGTGCATGTTTATTTATTACCTGAAGGTTATGCTCGTTCTCTTGGTCATTATGCCTCTTCAATCTCTCACTCTTATTTGACATGTTCAGTTATTTCTGACAAACTTGAAATTCCAAAAGTAAAACTAAGCTCAACTAAAAACAGTTTAACATATTCATTAGTAAAACACTGGAATGATCTTCCAATTTCCATTAAAACATTAACATCAAGAAATCGCTTCAAGCTTACCCTAAAACAATTTCTTTTAAATAATTGAATATCAATTTTATTGTTATTTCTCTATCATTCAATTTACAGTATTGTCATTTCACTATTACCACCATATTTCATATAATTTTTCTCCTTATGTATTATGTACTCTTAAATAATATATTAATATGATTTATGAATTCACTGTTCTTATCAGTTTTTTTCTGCTATCAGTGAATATGCAAGGGCTAGAGACTAGATTAGTTCTACTAGAACTACCTCTCTTGTCCTCGCCAGATAGTTATGTATATCTCTATCTTCGTTTTGTACTTTGTAATGTAATTTATCTGGTGAAATAAAATTGTATTGTATTGTAGTGTATGTGTGTCCGACTGTTCCACTGCTATCTCAAGAACCATACATCGGTTTTTGATGAAACTTGGTGCATAGATGCTCTGGGCCAATGCGCAGATTTGATTAGGTTTTGGTAAAAATCCATGCTCGTTAATTACCTAATTTGCATGATAATTAGCTAATTTTTAGCTGTTCTATGACTGTTCCACTGATATCTAAACAACCACTCATTGGATTTTGATGAAACTTGGTACATAGATGCTCTGAACTAATGCTAGGTTTTGATTAGGTTTTGGTAAAAATCCATGCTCGTTACATGTAATTACTTAATTTGCATGATAATTAGCTAATTTTTAGCTGTTCTATGACTGTTCCACTGATATCTAAAGAACCACTCATTGGATTTTGATGAAACTTGGTACATCGATGCTCTGAACATATGCGCAGATTTGATTAGTTTTTGGTAAAAATCTGTGCATATTAATTACCTAATTTGCATGATAATTAGCTATTTTTTAGTGGTTCTATGACTGTTCCACTGATATCTAAACAACCACTCATTGGATTTTGATGAAACTTGGTACATAGATGCTCTGAAGTAATGCTTGGTTTTGATTAGTTTTTGGTAATAATCCGTGGATACTAATTACCTAATTTGCATAATGATTAGTCAATTTTCGGTTTTTCCACTGATATCTCAAGTACTAATCATCACATTTCAATGAAACTTGGTACATAGATGTCATATGACACTGCACAGACCTGATAGTTTTTATGGTAATATCAGTACATATAATTACCTAATTTGCATAATTAATTAATTTTCAGCTTTTGATATAAGTAGTGAGCATTACATTTCAATGAAACTTGGTACTTACATACTCAAGGACTATGCAGAGAATAATTGTTTCGGATAAATATTTGTGCATATTAATCACCTAATTTGCATAATTAGTTAATTTTCAGCTTTTCCACGGGTATCTCAAGTACTAATCATCGCATTTCAATTAAACTTGGTACATAGATCCTTTAGGACTATGCAGAGACCTGATTAGTTTCAGGGTAAATAATTGTGCATATTAATTACCTAATTTGAGGTATGTACATGTAAATGTGTCGAAATGGACATAGTGCGAGTGGTTAGTGTTAGTAGCACTAATCCAAAAAACTACTAGATCTAGTGCTAAAATGGCACTAGATCTAGTGCAAAAACGGCACTAGATCTAGTGCTAAAATGTACACAGTGCGAGTGGCATTGATATTGCGTTGTCAACGACGTCAAGACATCCCGTGATTCTCTGAAAATAAATTAATATTTACGTAAAATTGTTGTATCTTTCATTCATTGGAAATGTGCTACAGTGGGAAAATTGAGAATGTCATTGTCCACGTTTGTCGTAATACTAATAGACCTTTGGAACAACGCGATCGGCCGGGAAACTAGCTGAAACAGTGAAACTGCAGGTCGAACTGCGCAATTTTTACAAATTGTGAATAGATATACTGTATGAAATGGTATTGTGGGGAAGTCCCGGGTCCCAGTAAAGCTTGGTGGGTTGTGCGTGTACTGCGATTTTCACGCAATCCTGTTGTTACATTGTATCATGGAGGAACTAACGGAATATGATGTAACCTCGCCGATTTTTTAATTTTTTAACGTGATCATATTATGTATGTCTAGACACTTTCTCTGCAATAATATTTTTTAGAAGCCCTTAGGATTTTTTGTTGTAGACTCTCGAAATCTTGTTCTTGTTACAGTTGCTAATAATTAAAACATGTGAAGTAACAAGTTCATCTGTTGAATTTCCGGTTGTGAAATACGTATTTTAACCCTCACAGCTAAACAAACCCAGTGTATGGTCGCGTTAAAAAAAAATGGGACCAAGAAATCGTCCAGGGTGATTTTTCGGCAGTTTTTAAATTTATTTTTTAAAATATTTTGTCGTAATTTATCGGACCATAGTTCCATGATCGGACATTTCAATCGTTCCTGACGCCTAAATCAGTCTATTTAAGTTTTTATTCAAGAGCGTGTTTATTTTGACTAGCGTAAGCTCCGTTTGGACAAAGAGCTGTTATCACTGTAAACAATGTGAAATTATTCTTCTTATGC